CTCACTTTCTTAAGGAAATTTGCTCCAAAAGATGGACTTTTAAATTCCAAAGACGAAGTGCAGGAAAGCCATACCTTATATAATTAGTCTTGAAATTGCACCAAATGATGGACTTCAAAGCTCCAAATACAAAATATAAAAAATAATCCATATCTTATTTGTGGCTTTTAAAATTCTATTAGAAATTCTCTCCAATTAATTTTGATTTATTGCCACTCTAGACTTAAAAAAAAAAAAACTGTTCACATACAATTAATCTATTAATTTAAATTTTGATTTTTTAATTCTTTGTTTAGTTAACTTGCATCTACATACTTAATCTATTAATCATAGTTCTAATCACGCAAGATAAACAAAAACAAAATGTAGTAGATCTTTAATGAATAGGGTAGGGATTAAACTGTAGGTAGTAAAGTATTTTCTTTTTTGGTTTAATGTTTTGGTTAAACCCATAGATACAAAATCATTTACGAACCGAAACAAAGGGCAAAATGAAAATATAACTGCAAAGAAGCTGGTTTGGGCTTGAGTTCATGAAGCCTTATTATTAAACCATGAGGCCTAACTGATAAAAAGCCATTGTAATATAAAGCTTTTTTTTTTTTTTGAAGGAATCGCAATCTAAACTTTCTGAGCAGGGGCAGGTGTGTCCAAGAAACACAAACTTTACCGTGATGAAAATTAAGATTGATTTGGCCTGTCTCTATCACCATCTACATAATTGCATGATCACATTAGTTTTTGAGTGCGTAATTAATTAATTAATGCCATTTTTTCAACCAGAGATAACCACAGGTAACCTAGGTGAAAAGACAGCAATCAAATTGTCGCTTCCATTTTGAAATCCATCTAGTCATCAACCACGAACATGACATTAGCAGTCTATGCAATATTTCCCTTTTTCCGCATTTTTTTTCCGTCTTACTCTCTCAGAAATAAAATAGCAAGAATCTTCTTTTAACACTAGCTCAGATTTTAAGGTTTATGGAGATGTTCAATGTTGTTAAATGCTGAAGAGACAGCCATCAAGTACACCATGCTTTAATTTTGATTCCCATATTACAAACAGCTACTAAACTAAAAAGAGCATTTATTTGTTCTAACATTGAACCCAGTCTTTCTTCCCCTCCTTTTTTGTCATTGATAAACATGGAAACTAAACCATTAGAGATGGCAGATAATATTTTAAAATCCTTTTTGGTGTGGCGCTCAATCTTTAATTGAGTGGAACAGACGGCACCCTGGTTACACTGCGGGTAAATCCTGCAATTTCGGCTGTTGAATCTTACAACATCACAACTATATATAGCATGCCATAGGCTCCCCTTACTGGCCGCTAGGTTTTCAAGAAAGCTAAGCTAACTGTGGCACGATCTTTTGTCCATATGGGTTCTCTGAAAAAACTCCACCTCTTTTTCACTTGAAAATGGCAAGGAAATCTTGGTGCACTGAGATAACCTGTCTTTGAAGCAGATGGAGTTGTTTAAAGCAAAGCTTTTGGGAATGAAGCGAAACTGGCTAGCTTTCTGTACTCATAAATACTGTAGCACTATACCTACTACTGTTTTTCAGTTTTAGCCAACGAATATGCAAAAGATGAGCAAAAGACAAAAAGAGAAAAAAAAATAGATGAATAAATAAAATGGAAACGAGGAGAGATTACAATTTACACCAAATAATATTGTGTAAAATCATGATTGTACCATGTGGAATGTACTTTAAAAATCATCATAAATGAGATTTAGTCTCTATTCTATTAATTCGCATACTAGTTTAACCATATAATTTATTATCAATTAAAAAAAAATTAACCTAACCCATCTTTATATAATATGAATAAGCTTTTAATATGTTCTTAAATTTTAAAATACTTTTATTATGTCTCTGTTATTTTAGGTAATTTTTAATCTGTCAGTCTCGTTAATTTTTTCAATCAAATCATTTAAGAATATGATATGACCTATATATAATCTTTACTATGATAAAAATACTCCTTGCAGCTTAACAAGTTGACTTTCTAATATATATTTATGTAATGTGTTGAACTTTCAATCTATTCTTAATATTAAAAAATCCATTATTATTATTATTATTATTTCTAATAATTTATACCAAATTTTTTGTTAATTCAAAATATATAAAAATAATCAGTACAATTTAGTATGTGAATGTTCAAAAAATTATCATTTAATATTTTTTTAATACTAGAGTTCATTATATTATTGTCATTATAATAATTCACTTATGTATAATATTGAATAAGTTGATATAATATTTACCAATATATTAAATCATCTATATAAAAGCAAAAATGTGAATTGCTTGCAAAAAACAAATAATTATGTAATTTAAAAAAAATTAATGATTTTTTAATTACATTCTTAAGATACTAAATAACAATTATTTAAATATAATTATTTGTTTTTTAATTACACTCTTAAGAGATTAGTTACCAATTAATTAATAACAATTTTTTTTTTAATTATATACTTAAGCGACTAATTAACAATTACTTAAATGTAATTATTATTATTTTTAATTCCTTGAACAATTACGTACAAACTTGTACTAATTATTTTTATATATTTTTAATTAGCAAAAAAATTCATTATAGTGCAACACATTATTAGAAAAATTATTAATAATATTATAATATATTTCTTAGCATTAAGAATGAATTGAAAACTCAAACCAAGTATACAATGACATATTGAAAACTTAATATGTTAAATTGTAAGGAGTATTTTCGTTAAAAAAAATTTATGTGCGGGTCATGTGATCATATAATTGGGTGGTTTGATCAGAAAAATTGACGAGAAAATATATATTAGAAATCAGCTCAAATAACATAAATATAATAGAAGCGTTTTAAAATATAAAAATAGATTGATGAAAGCTTGGCATATTATATAAAAATAGATGAGGGTATTTAAAAAAAAAAAAAAGGCTCTTGTAGGAACATCCAGCAGCCTTCCTTTTGTGATCATTTATGTAATACATTTTATTCCGGATCTTGAAAGTCTTAAGATCTAGCCATATTTATCATGCTCTGCTAGTTAGTTAGTGAAATGTATACCGAGGCTTTTAATATTATTTTTAAAATAGTATACAAGAGAATAAGGATTCAAAATTAAACCTCTTTTAAAACAATTATCTTTTGGTCCATGGGAATTAAATCTGTTTAATTATTTGGTGTAACAAAACCCAATGCTATAAATATGATTAATCCATATATATATATAAAAAAAGGAATAAATTATTTTAAGAGGATTTCATTTTAAGTTGGGAGTGTGCCTTTAAAATCATTAAGAAAAAGATTTATTTTTTTATTTAAGTGCAAGATGATTTGATAATATTTTTACTGAAAAAAAAAAGTCATTTAAATTGATGCATATGTTAATAAAAGCCCATTCTTTCTGTTTTTTGTGCTTTTTAAATTATTAGAATATAAAGGGAGATAAGTGCACTTCTTTCATTCTATTCAGAATAAATGTGAATTTGTTTCTTTGAAGAGAAACAATTTTAAAAAAAGGTAAAAAAAACCACTCAAATAAAGATTATATATATATATATATATATATATATATAGTGAATAATGGTTTTAATTTATTTTATATACGGAAGAGTGGTTTATCAAAATTAAATTCCATAGGATGAAAAAATTTATATCTTAGTGAATCCTATCAAATGAACTCATTTTTAAACCTCATCGTGACAATGTGAGAAGAAAATTAACATGAATTTCAAAGCCTTAATTTACTTATATGGGTTGTGATGATATAACTATCCATATGTTGTTCGTATTAATTCAATTAATTTTGGCTCCTCTCATATTCCTTTGATTCTCAATGAAAACAGTAAATATGCTCATTTGCGCACCTCAAGTCTCATTTGCGCACCTCAAGTCAATTAGCATATATAATTATATTGCTATCTAGGCGAAGAGGGGGAAGGGTGTTGCGTAATTTGTTTTTAGTACTTTGTTGATGAGCTAATGCGGTATCTGCTGCAGGTTAATTATATATAATTAACAAGCTTCAAGCATTACATGGCTATTAATAAGAGATTAAGACACAAATAAAGTTCCTTTCAAGATAAGAAATTTTATCCCTGCATTATATATATATACACTCATGAATCGGTGCACGGCGTAGGAGAAATCAATATTTTAATTGTTTAAGTACGAGTGATGGAAAAAGTATATGCATATTGATAACATGACATAATACTATAAATTAATTAGGAATATCTCATGAACTACTTGCTAGGCACTTTGTGGGACATTGACAAACAGAATTTTGCGGTATTGTTATCATTATGTTTGGGGGTCATATAAAGTAAATAAATAAACAGCTACTAAAGCTCGAACGACCTTCAGTTAATTTCCATCTCCTTGGTTAATAACAAGGCCCCTCTCTCCCTTCCTAGCTAGTTCCATTCTAAATTAAATTTAACCAATTATATCCAGACAAATCATCAAGCATCGAGCTGTTTCCTTCTACGCATTACTCTCCAGTTTTCATTACACTTGTTGCATAAAATTAGACGACTATGTGCTTCAGTAAAATTTAAAGATAAGTGAAAAGCATCCTTATGCTAGATTTGGCATAAAGGTAATTAAAAACCTGGCAGGCCGAGGTTCTAGTACATATAGTAAGCAGTGACCAAAACATGTAGAGCACTTCGCTGGGGATGAGCACCTCCAATGGGATTTTCAGCTTCTGGTTCTGAATTTGATGTGCTCTTTGCTCCAACTTTATTAATCACTCCACTTTAATTCCCCTCTTTCTCTAGCTCTCTTAAACCCAAAACCCAACTCTATATCTACACCAAAGTACATCTTTTGGTCAGTCTTGGTTCTCTCTCTTTCTTTTGTACTCTTGACTTTTGAGATGCGGTTTTTTTACTTTCGTAATTTGCTTTTATAAATTGATATGATTTGAGCTAGACTGTTGTTGTCTTTTTTATCTTGCTAGGTCTGACTGAACCGTAAAGAACTCATGGAGAGAAACAGTTTGAGTAGCGACTTGAAAGACCATAGCATTGGCAGTAGAGCGTGCAACAACAGTAACAACAACAAGAAGCTTAGAGATTCATTGAACTTTAGCAGCTGCCAAAGCTATGGAGAAGATTATCTTGGTGGGCTTTCATGGCCTCCAAGATCGTACACGTGTAGCTTCTGCAGAAGGGAATTTAAATCTGCTCAAGCTCTTGGAGGTCACATGAATGTTCATAGGAGAGACAGAGCCAGGTTGAGACTGTCACCTCCAAGGGATGGTCAGTGTCCTATTCTGAACCTTAACCTTAACCCTAACGCTAACCCTAACCCTAGTTTCTATCCTCCATTCACTCGCACATTACCATCCTTGGTTTCTCCTCCTCTTTCTGCACTATCTACACCACCTTTAACTTATGAAGTCAAGAAATGGACCATTGATGGTACCCCTCTTGACCCTTCAAGCCCCGAACTTTCTGATTTAACAACAAAGGGAACCAGAAAATCCTTCTTCACTTCTGAAAACTTTGATGATTTCACACAACAAAAAGGATTCAAGACCTTGAAGAAGGCGGACATCGTGAGGTTAGATTTGGAGATTGGTCTTGTTAGTGACTCCAATGATGATTTGGATTTGGAACTTCGACTGGGATCTATTTATTAGGTGAACTTGTGCCGCCTTATCAACACAAACTAATACGCCTAATCTTGGAAGTTTGTCATTGGCTTGTTGCACCAGTTTGTGATCATGTATTATAATTAAGATGCATTTATGTTTATTAGTCAATCCTAATGTTTCTTGAAGAAGTTCGCAAGTTGTTAGATTTTAAAGCAAACTAGTATTGTCCCTGATCTAGAGACTCATATTTCTTCTACTTGTCGAGGGTTATTGTTTCGTTATCAAGTTTTTTTTTTTTTTTTTTCCTGTTAATCATGTCACTAATTATGTTGTCTAGATTTGCTGTCAGCATATTATATAGTTCAGCTACTATAACTATGGTCTTTGTATATCACATATAATTAGCTTCAGTTCAGAGTTCTGATCATATCTACCATTTCTTTAGTGAGAGAGAAGCCGGTGGGTGTATGTGATTGGGAATTTTTGATGATTCGTCCAAGAAAAATGTTGGATTTTTTTGGTTTTGTTTCTATTTCATTTTTCTAATTATTTTTTTCTTTTATGTAGTTAGTGTGGATTGTAGTTCTTGTTAGGTTAACTGTAACTTAACAACAAAAGGAGTTATCTAATTAAAAATGGAAGAAGTAAAACTCTTCCAGTGGATGTTGTACTATTTTGTTATTACTTTAAATTAGAATAGAGACCGATCATGCTGTTTAGCATTCTTGGAAAACTATAGTCTGATCAAAGTTAATAAATAAATAAATAAATAGAGGTAGATGAAAAAATAAAATAACATAGCAGATCTTATTCTTGTTCTAGCTACGGAGTTCTGAGCGGTATAAGTTGCCTAACCAAAAGCCACGGATGTCTAGAAAATTAATTACATGTTAGATAACATCGTCAAACTAGAAGTGAGATTATAGATAAATTTTATAATACTCAAAAGGTAATTAGTGAAATATACGAGTAATTACTCTATAGGTTTACTTAAAGGAGAGAGACAGACACATAAAAAAGAGAAAAAAATTGAAAAAAAATTAAATGAACTTAAAATCTTTTTATCACTTTTTGCAAGTCTAGATGTAATTTTATGTGTCTCTCCTTCAAATGAGTTCATAGAATAACTACTGTATATATCACTAGTTATTTTTTTAGTATTATAAAACTTTTCGAGATTGCATGACGTTGCATGTATTATGATAATATGTGTATATAAAAAGTCAAATAGAAAAAAAAAAAAAAAAACCCCAAATTGTCTGGTGATGAGATTAGATTGGAGAATGTTTTCATTTCTTAATTGAGATGAAACAATATATAAGGCTTGAAATTTGTGCTGAAATTAATTTGTAAATAAATGAGGTTAATTTGCTAAGATTCAAATTCGAGTCAAAACTGCTTAATTAAATATCAAATTAAATTACAAATCGCACATGGTCCGCAGATCCCTCCTTTTCGGCTTTAATTAGTCATATTTCTAGTTCCATGAAGCAGCATTGCCTCAATGACTGTTGACGGAAAGTTTTTGATCCTGTATCTTAATTTGTTCAGTATATATGGGGAAAAGGTTATGTCGTGGAAGGAAAAGCACTGTGCTTTTGTTTGGACATCTGAAACCTCCAAGTCCAGCTATATGTACACGCTGATGGAAATTGACTTCCCTGACTTTTTGAGAAGTCTTTTTCCAAACATGTAGCTAATGTACTGTTATTTCAATGATGATAGCATATATTGGAACCAATTTCCAATACACATTTCATATATAAGCGTAAACTGTGCAAAGGCCATCATGCCATGTCATCGTTTCCTTCTTCAAGTGCATTAAAAAAAAAAAAAAAAAAAAAAAAAAAAAAAAACATGAGAAATAAGAGTACAGAAGTAAATCAGCCACCAACCAATTTTGTTGGTTAAGTGATCCAAGCGTCAACATTCATATATTTTTATCCACAAAGAATTTTGTCTGATAGTTAAAGGAGATTTGTTTCTTTTATCGACTTTATGGGTTTAAAATTTGAGACCAGCACAGAGGATGATTAATCAAACTCTTCTAAATGCAATAACCTGACATGAAGAATGCTTTAAAATTATTTAAAAATAAACTTAATCTCATTTAATACACAAACTAATCTGAGAATATTTTTATTATTGAATATATATCGTGAATCGTTGGTTTAATAATTTTAAAAATATTATCAAATAAAAATCTTGTATTTTTGAAAACAGAGAATGAGGATAATGTTAATCAATTTAAACACTCCTATAGAAGTGAAGTACTCACTATTTTTTTTTGTTGTTGTTGTCCCATCCACTTAAATGAAGTCACATGTAATATTTGATATTCACATTAAAATCGATATAATTTAAGTTATCTAGCAAAGTGGAAACGATATAAAAAAATAAAAATAAAAATCATATTAATTTTAAAATGTAATTTTAATACATGTGGATAGATTTAATATTTATTTATTCCACAATAAGAGTATTCTTAGACCGACCAACTTTTTGTATTAATCGAGATTAAGTTCTTCATTTGACGATGTTACGGATGCAACTTCTACATCAATTTGATGCATTTAGAAGAATTTAATAAATTCTCCCGAATGCTGGATCTAATGATTGAATTCGGAAAGTCAAGAAAAAGAACAAACCCTCGTAACTACCAAATACTTGACTTGTTTTCTTTAAAGGTGTCGCTATTTGACTTTCGTAGGACTCCCAAATTTTTACGATTTTTGTACTCGGTTGAAAATTTTATTTTGTTTGGGGATATGAGTTATGATTGATTTCGGAGTCGCTACTTAGTATTAAAGGTAGCTAAAAACCTAAAATGGACATTGGTTTAAAGATTCTTAGGTAATGAGTTGGTTACGCATTTAAAAATATATCAATCACTTAAAAGCACATTATCCTAGAAAAGGTTCCACGTTTGATTTAGTTTTAAAGTTTATTTTCTAAAATTTCTATTTTCGCCAAAATTAATCATAAGTCAAAATTTCAAGTTTTATTTCCTAAGAAAAATTAATTTTTTATTTTTGTTTACAGCATCATATTGAATTAATCGTCGGACCCCGTCGTTAGGAGTTTCGTTAATTCAATATCAAATCCAATTTAAATTTTGACATAATTGATATATTAGAGAATGAACTAATTACTAAAACATGATTAATTTAAGCTAATATCGGTCCTCATTGGTTAGAAGAATTTGTTAATTTTCTCCTAGCATTTTCTTTATATATATATATTAATTTTTTGTTTTTGTTTACGGCGTCATATTGAATTAATCGTCGAACCCGTCGTCGGGAGTTTCGTTAATTCAATATCAAATCCAATTTAAATTTTGACATAATTGATATATTAGAGAATGACCTAATTACTAAAACATGATTAATTTAAGCTAATATCGGTCCTCATTGGTTAGAAGAATTTGTTAATTTTCTCCTAGCATTTTCTTTATATATATATATATATATATATTGTTGTTTTTGTTGTTTTCTCCCTTTTTTTTATCATTTTTCATCTAGCATTTTCCCTTTCTTTTTTTCCTTTTTTTATGTATCTTTTTTTTATCAATTTTTTCTTCTTCTTTTTTATCATTTAATCATATATATATATATATATATATATATATATATTTTTGTGAGAAGTCGTTATCGATCCCTAAAAATTAAGAAATTCGACGAATCATCCACCTATTATTTACCTAATTTAATTATTGAAAGTAGATTGAAAAAAAAACTAAACATTGACTAAATAAATAAGTAGGCATAAAAAATTAATTTTTTTTAAAAAAATCTAAACTAGGCATAAAAGTAAAAGACATGTATTAAAATTTCAAAACTGGTTTAGCTAGAAAAATAGCTTAATTTAAAGTTATTAGGCCTTTGGGCCATTGGGGTCGGCCCATTAGGTTGGGCTGCTAGGATGTACTCGGCCTTTCTCCCTGGTCGGCCTAAGTTCGAACCCAAGCCCATGGTCCACTTCCCTTGAAACCAATCAAGCCTAAATGAATAACGACTTATTGCGGCCTAGTGTCCGTATCCCCTAACCCAACCTAAGTCTAGCAAACTAAAGCCTAGCCTAACGAAGCCTAAGCTTGCCCTAAAATGCCAACCCAAACCATTTCTTTCCCCGGCCGGAATAACTTTCTTTCTCTCTTCATTGTTCTTTCTCTTTTTCTTCCACAATAACCATAATTCGTCGACTTTCAAAATTTCTTTATCAAGTAGCCTAAACACCCAACACTAGAATTCTCACCTTTTGTCTACATGTTCATTTGATAATAAACCATGGCTAGTGGGGGAATTACGTTGTGAGCTAACGGCTACTACATAATGATTGGTACAATCGTCGACCAAGAATCATAGAGGCATATTGGAGCCTTTTCTCTTTAAGAAAGACGATGAGCATTCCTAGAGATTGATTTTAGGTTGAAGTTTACTCAATTTTTGATCTTGTCGTTCACTCCCTAATTTTAATTTAGTCTTTACATATTTTAGATTTTTCCCAATCGAGTCTTTTAAGCATATAATTTTGATCCTTAGTTCTTTTAATTTTTTCGATCGAGTCCCTATATCTTTTAATTTTGGTTCTAAAGTTTTTAATTATTTTAATTGCATCCTTAATTATTTCAATTTTAGTATTAATTTTATTCAATCATTCCCCTAATTAATCATGTCATGTTATTTTTGTATTTTTTGTAATTTATATTTTTGTATTATTTGTAATAATAAATATTGAAATTAAACAAGTAAACAACAATAAAAAATAAAACTAAAATTAAACATGATAAATAGAACCTAAAAGGAATAAAATAAATATAATTCAAATTTTAGGTTATGACAGGTTGTCCCATCTTACAATGCTTACGATGCAAATGTCAATTGAAGTGCGAACTTCATATTGGGTTTTCTTAGTAAGCTTATAAAGAAAATTTATGCCCGGAGTGGTGGTTTATTATTAGGCGATCCTACTTAAAATGATGATCTACTCTTAGGCGATCCTACCTAAAATGATGATATATTGTTAAGCGATCATGTCCGAGGTGATGGTTTATTGTTAGGCGATCCTGTATGAGATGATGATCTATTCTTAGGTGACCTTGTCCGAATGATGGCCTATTGTTAGGCGATTCTACTTGAGATGGTGATCTATTCTTAGGCAACTTTACCTAAGATCATAGTCTATTCTTAGGCGATGATGCCTAAGATAATTGTATATTTTTAGGCGACCCTACTTGAAATTATGGTTTATTGGAGGTGACCCTACTTGATATGATGCTTTATTCTTAGGTGACTCTACTTAAGATGATCGCCTATTCTTAGGTGACCTTGTCCGAGATGATAGTCTATTGTTAGGTGATCTTGCTTGAGATGATAATTTATTGTTAGTGACCTTGCTTGAGATGATAGTATATTCTTATGCGATCCTTTCTAAGATGACGATCTATTCTTAGACAACCTTGTGTGAGATGATGGTCTATTCTTAAGCGACCACTGCTTGAGATGATGGTCTATTGTTAAGCAACCCTACCTAAGATAATGATCTACTCTTAGATAATCTTGCCTAAAATGATGGTTTTAAGAATGCGAGTCCCTTATGATCTGATAACTTTTGAAGTTTGCACTTGAATGATGGTTCATCCTTTCTTTTAAGATGATATTCTTGAAATATATCAATAAATCCGATTGTAATGATTAGTTTTTTATCTAAGCGAAACATAGGTTGCCCTATCTTATCAAAACTCAACTCCCTATTTAGTGTCTCATTCTTGGTTATCCGAAATTCTATACTCGAATCTTATTCTATAATACTATTGAAATTTTTGTACCCCTAAAACCTTGATCCTTGTTCATTGTGAAATTGGGTTTTTCACTTTTTGTAAATAAACTAAAGTAGATTGAATTTTTCTAAACCTTCGAAGGTGAAAATCATCTATTTGTTATGCTCTACCTCTAGTTGGACTCGTTCTTAACTACATCGATTGCTTTTCAAAATCTTATTAAGTCATTACCCTTTCTTACAACCACTCTATATCCCTAGCTTGATAGTTTTGGCCACTTTGATTAATGGTCCTTTAACTAGCATGATGATGTCATTATTTCATCGGTTATTAAACTCGATTAGAGTTGTTAAGTCTTTGTCCTTAAGCGTTCTCAATTTTGTCGACTATCATTTAGTTTGGATCATGAGATGCCCTCAAGTATTGTTGAGATCATGCATTTGTCACTCTCTTGGCATAACCACTATTTGTGCTCAGATTTCATCTTCTAATGCTTACATCATAATTTATAAATTTGTCTTAAATTTTTCATCATATTTTAAGAAAAATCTTTGAATAGATTTTTTTTCATGGATTAAGCTATGAACTTGAATGATTTTCTTGAATACAATTCAAATCATTTGAAAGAAATCAAGAGATGTTTCAATAAAAACACTTTCATTCATGAAGATGTGCAAGTATATTGATCAAAAGTCAAAACATGACATTCAAATGCTATGATGCAATTTTCTCGAGAGAATCTTTAAGCTAAGCGAGCAAAATGTGTTTGGATAATGCCAAGTTTTATATAAAAACTGATTTTTTATGTGATTAAAGATGATTGGTCAAATGATAAGTCTCAGCTAGTGAATGAAAAGGTTTAAGTAGAAGGTATTTTAAAAAATTAAGTTTTAAAGG